CTTTGCTTTGCATTGCTTTAACTTGCTTTGCTTTACTTTGCTTTGCTTTGCTTTGCTTTAATTTACTTTACTTTGCTTTGTTTTGCTTTGCTTTGCTTTGCTTTGCTTTGCTTTATTAAAAAAAGTTCGAGAAAATGATCTTGCTAAGTTCGCGGACGCTTCGTACTTAATCGACTTTTAAATATTTATAAAAAAAAAGGCTTTTGAATTAAATAAAATCTATTAGCTTGCATTTAAATCAATAAAGACGACGAAGATAACAAGAAAATAAATACTTAATTTCGTTTTCTTTAATAAAAATAATATTTATTAAATAAAAAGAGCTTAAGAAAGAGCTTGAAGAAAAAAAATAAAAAAAAAATAAAAAGATTCGCCGTCGATTCGATCTATAGCATCTTTTAACTCAATTTAAAAGACACGCGGTGAAATAAAATTTTCGTAGCTTAATTAAGAATGAATAACATTATTAAAAACATATATATATATGTTATTGCAATGTTATGAGCAATGTTATAAGCAATATAAGTGTCTACGTTCCTCGCGGTTTTTGGTGTTGAAGCGGGACATGATTTTTTCGCGGGACATAATTTTTTCGCCCACTTTAGGGAAGGGCCCCAAAAGTTGCGACGTCAAGTCCCACTATTATACCGACTAAGACTGAAAGGCTGGAAGGAGGCCCACCTAAGCGAGCCGACGATTACCACTTATTAAACAACAACTATTATTATAAAAAATAAATAAAAAATGTTTATATTCTTAGAAAATGTTTCTTTACAAACTTGAATTAAAATTATAAAAATGCATCCATTTGTAGTAATCTAATACATTGAAATGTTGTGAAAAAATGATCAAAAACTGTCCCAAATAATTCAAATTTACTTGTTTATTGCAAATATCTTAATAACCATAACCATAATTCAAAAAAACGTCACATAGATCGAAAACAAATGATTTAATATATTATATTACTAAAGGTATTAATTATTAAATCAAAGTTGGTAGTGATGCACGTATTTTTTTAATAGATTTGAATAAAAGTTCGATTTTCGTGTTCCTCGCTTATTCTAATATATACGCGGCAATTCTGATATATACGCATTATCAAAATCGAAAAGTATATATCAAAAGTACTATTTTTATTACTTTAACTCAACATAATAAAAGAATAACAACTTGTAATTAAAATTCAATTAATTGATTAATATCAAACTCAGTACGGCGCATCTTTTTATACAAAGATAATTATTATATAATAGTTGGTTGATTTTTTATTTATTAAAAAGGAGAAAATTTTACTGTCCCGCCTTGGTGGTGCCGACCTGGCTGCGCCAGGTCGGGATTTTTTACAAATCAAATTCAAGGTAACCGACGATTAGTCGTACTAGATATAAAAGATGCTATAATTTCATTTCGACCCCTACATATTTATTTTTTTTGGACTACAAGATCCCATCCGATCATCCGATTCTTATCATAACATTGTAAATCTTATCATAGCATTGTAAATGAAATGCAAGTAGTAATCTTTGGCCCCATTGCAATATATGTTAAGGCATATTTTAACTGAAATCAGACTTTTAGGGCTACGTCACCGACTCATCAATTCCAAACGTCTATTCAGTTCCACTCCGTACAGTCATCCCCCCGCCCCCTGAATAGAAGACGGACCCAGTTTAGCCCCATGAGTCGTAAAGCGATGGTTTCTCCATGACTCAAAGCCTTGTCAACTCTATTGCACAGACTAAATACTTGCTTAAAGATACTTCTCGCGGCTGAATCCTCATATGTTGATTGGTTCAAGCCCTGGTAAGAGCCCTTGAAATTATACTTCCGTCTTTTACTTCTACCACGGTACAGGCCTAAGTATTACCCCTCGAGGGTGCCTTAAAAGTTTAGTTTCCACTTTAAAACCCCTGTTTTCCCTACCCTCGAGGGGTAATACTTACGCCTGCGACGTAGTAGTAGTACGTCGTACTACGTACTAGTTGGGGGGGGAAAGGGGGGAGGGGCTGAAATTGTATGGAACTACCACCGGATGGGGTATCGGCGAAACCGACGATGGTTGAATAATACCACCAGAAGTAGGAGCCAGGCGTCAATAGCTTGGGTCAAATATGCCTCTCTCTCTTCGTCCGTCAGGATCCCGTTTTCTTCATATCAAGGCCGGATACGGTTAGATGCGTATATATATAGCTAAACGGAAGAACCAACTCTGCGTGCTCCGTCTCGCTCCGTGGCGCGTTCAAGGATTGCCCCTGTGAGGGTTTTGAAAAAGAAAAGGGTTCTCTCTCTTATCGCTACAGTACAAGCTCCCGGCTCGATTCACTCGATCCACTTTAAGATTTGTACGTAAGAGAGAGAATGAAGAAAGTATGTTTGATTGCAGATATGGCTCAGTGGACGGGGACGCAGATCTGAACATCTCGGCGCTGGACGGAGATAATAAGGCATGGTTTAATGAGCACAGAGGGTCGGGCACAAGGGCTGTCGTGAGAGGAACTCGAGTCGGGAGACATGAGGTGAGGAGGACAAAGTCCGAACGCCAGCCTTGGTATTTTGCTGAAAACAAGAACCCACATCTCGACCGACATGCAACTTTCTATATACAGATATCATTAAGTACGCTTGAATAGCTCCCAGTTTTTATCTAACACCTTTTTACACGTACGCTCTTCACCGTTTGATCTACACACGGTTAGAAGAGCTTGTCCAAAACGCGTCTGTACGCGGGGAGTGCAGCCATCTTCTCCCTGTGCGCGTTGATAATCTCCCAGTTGTGCTGGCGACGTCCGGTATCGATATCAATCTCAGAAAGCCTCAGGAAGGCTTTACCCTTCCAGAAGTAACCGACGATCCAGAAACAGATGACCAGGGGGAAAGCGGTGTAAGCCTTGAAGAATTCCTCGGCGGTTCCGACACCATCTTCGCCGATTGGGAATAAGGCGGCGTAGAACTGAGCCAGTAAACAGATAATGACGAGGATGAGACCGACCCAGGAGCCCTTAATACCAAAGATGTGCTGGAATGGGATCTCATCGAGAGTATGACCGTGATGAGCCCATGCAGCGCGGAAGCGGATGTGGGCCTAAGTTGAAATGTTAGATGTTGTAGAGTAATAACAAGGGCGCGCGACATACCAAACAGATGGATCCCCAGGTGAAAAGAGCAGCGAGACCAGAGAGCGACAGGAGCCAGTCGAAAATAGTCGCACCGTCGGACGCGAGGATGATATAGGCAATGCCACCGAAAGCAAGGTTGAAAGCGACGGCGTAGAGAGGGCGACCAGATCGGTCAATGTAAGTGAAAATTTTGGGGGCGTATCCTTGCTGAGCAAGCGCGGTCAAGGTGCGGGAACCACCGTAGACACAAGACACACCGATAGACAGGACAGACACCAGGATGATGACGTTCATGAAGTCGTCGTAGCCATCAAGACCGGCGTATTTTCCAGCCAACACGAAAGGCGACGTTCCGTCCGAGTAAGGGTTGTCAGCTCCCAGTAAATTCGGATCCTTGGAACTGATCAAAAGACCGGTGCAGGTGAGACCAAGGATGTAGAACCTGTTCGAGTCTCATTAGACTTCCACCAAGTACAAGACCGGAGACTTCTTACATTGTGATACGCCAGAAGACCTGCTTAATCGCACCTGGGAGGGCCTCGGTAGGGTTGGCAGCTTCCGCAGCGGCGAGACCAACTAGCTCAGTACCAGCAAAGGTAAAAGCGGCAGTAACGAAGACGGAGCAGAATCCCTTGAATCCGTTCTGGAATGCACCTGGGTCGTACCACAGTCTCGCACCCCAATACTCGTCGTATTGTCCACCTGATGGGCCACCACCGAATATGAGGACGACGGCGATGATCATGAAGACAATGGTAGCCCCGAGCTTCAAGAGTGAAGACCAAAACTCCTCTTCAGCATATCCCAGAGTTCCGAAGATGTTGACGAACGTAATGATCGCCCAAGTTATTGAAATCCATACAGCCACGCTGGTATCCTTGTCCCAGTATTGCACAGTGAACGACACGACTGTTAACTCAAGAGGTAAAACAATAAGCCATTGGAGAACCTGAACAAGATTAGCCCCGGTCCATCATACGTTGAAGAAAAAGCTAACGTAATTCCATCCCATGGCGAAACCCCAGGACGGGTCGATGAAGCGGGTCGAGTACGTGTAGAAACCACCGGAAACTGGGAACATCACAGCGAGTTCACCAAGAGCGTAGACGACGTTGAAAACCATGGCACCAGCAATGAGGAAACAGATGAGGACTGAGCCGGGACCACCACGAGTGAGGGCGGAACCTGAGCCGACGAAGAAACCAGCACCGATAGAACCACCGATAGCAATCATGTGCAAGTGACGAGGCTTCATCGAACGATCGAACTCTACCTCTCCGTCGATGGACCGGCCTATGGTCTGTCAGTATCTTGAAGAGGGAAAGGCCACCTAGGGAGCTCTTACGTCTACCAAAACTTGCGAGGTTCAGACCGTTACGGGTCCGGAAGTCAACCTCCCTCGCGGGGCCTTCTTGTTTGCCGCCGGGCAGTACAGTTGCCTTCTCGGCGTCGCTATGAGAAGGCGAGGAGTTCCCAAGCTCCTCGATGGGGTCTGCCCCATCGTACACCTTCGACATGTTGATGGAAGCAGCTATGCCGTCGTATTAAAAACTAGGTAGGAGGTAGATGGGACTGGGTCTGATGTCCACCCTCGGGAGTCTACCAAGTACAAGAAGTGCGGTGGAAAGGTGGAACGGGGAGGGGACTGCCACCATTTGTATTCCAGCTGCAAGGCAGAGGCATAGCTTTTCCAATAAGCCTATCGGCTCAATAAGTCTATTGGCGCCAATGAATTACATCAGGGACACGGCGATAGGAAAATAGACAATAGCCAAGTCGAGATGCTTGGAGCGGAAGACTGCAAGGATGCAAGGATGCTTATGCTGTCGCCGTACGAAGAAGCTCCGTACCGGTTAATTTGCATTTCGAAGCCAAGGATCCAAGAGGTCAAACTCTGCTGAGATATTGGCGAAGACGACACCGCGAAGGAGCGGCTTGGCTATCGATAGACCATCAGCTCTCTGTACCAGTAGTACCGGTATGTACGGAGTAGACTCAGTAGAGTACTCGTGTAGGGTCCACGTGAGTCGTGTCTGAATAAAAAGGAAGAAGATACGTTCCGGAGCTACTCTGGTATCGGGAGGGCCGGAGCTTCGTGACGCTGCTGATGAGTTAGTTATATCAGGCCGATATTTTTGGACTGGAGCAGAGATTACAGCGCTCTTGACAGATGTAAAATTGGCCCTGTAATCGGGAAGATTTTCGGTATCGGAATTGGGGAAAAGATACGAGTAATCTCCTGTAAGAAAGTTGTAGTAGTACGTTTCAGTAGATGGATATCCCAGCAGAGAGGGTGAGATCTCGCGACCCAGCCAAGGCCTGTCACCACCTTTCTCGAGCTTGGCACGTGAGCCAAGCGAGATGCCGAACGATTTGTTTACATTGCCTACTACGTGAATTCGCCTTCTGGCAATGCAGCAAGGCCTGGCCGCGCTCTGACCTACCGGTACCTTTCCGATGCGGCCCAAGTGCAGCCAGCTGCAACACTATGTAGTGCTACTACTACTACTAGCTGTAAGTACTACGTACTTAGTAAGGACCAGGCCGAACCCTGCCAGCCTTATCAGCTTGTTGAGCTTGGCGCAAAGGCCCCATGGGTATCCAAATTTTCCTGAACGTTTCTGGAAGCTTTTCGGAAGCCGTCCTCTTCGGAGGCCGTGGCTGGCTGACTTGACGCCATCTAGCATACGCCATTTTTCGGCCCGGGTGCCAATTCCGATCGAGCAGCAACTGGGTCAGGCTGGGAACTTCTCCACCAATTCTTGCGCAGGAAATCGCCAGCCACCCGTATCTTCAACTTGAGAGTCAACACAGTCTCGAAATCTCTCTCGTCCTGGTGCGAACATGCCGACTTAAGTGGCTGTCAGATGTGGCGTCGGCGTCTCCTGAAGTATATTAGCTCGACAAGGGCATCCGGAGAGGCGGCTATTGCGATTGGTTCTGCCGTAGTTGCCGCTTTAAAAATAGTACTTTCTGTGGCTAGTTCATATCACGGAGGCTCCTAATAATAAACCTCAACCCGCACATCTCCTAAGGGTGATTTTCGGGGAAAATGTGCCCGGCGAGTACCGGAGCGAGAAGTGACCCTTGCTGGCTGGAAATGTCAAAAATTTTCTCGGTACTCTGTACAGAGTAGTCCCAACCTAAAGGTGTTGATGCGGCTGAAATCGCTTCAACCCTTTGTTCTGTCTATCCTACAGAATGATTTTTGCAGTGCTCCTCTTGCCTACACCTGACACGTGCACTCAACTGGTGCAAGTGCATAACGCTCGAAGATATCCACCTCTCTACCTTATTTTGGTAGCGGAAGGAGTGAACATGACCAATTACATAATCGCCTGGGCCCGGCCGCTCTTCCCCAACCTCCCCCCGTGGGGGCCTGTCCGTGTGAAGTGTCAGATTGCCTGAGGTACTTTCAGGCACTTCGGCTCTCGTGTTGACCCCGATTCAGTCGAGTTTCCGACGGAGTACTTCCCCCCACCTGTACAAAAGCCGAAAGTATAATTTTGCAAGGGATTTTACTACGTACTACGTAGGGATTGAACGAATAAACTTATACTTTGAAATGTACTATCTTTACTCCGTAAGCAAGTACTACTATTTAGTCTGTGAGTCTGTGAAATAGAGTTTGACAAGACGTTGAGCCATTCAGAAACCACCGCTCTTTGATTTGCCCCGTATGGGGCTAAACTGGGTCCGTGTTTTATTCTAGGGGGGTTGTAGAAGCTATGACATTTTGATCGTGAGCGCGCTTGATTGGAGCTTTTGGAAATGGACCCTGTTCTAAAGTATATCGAGTACCTACCCCGACTATGATATCATACTACTTACTACCTTTACCTATCGATCCAGAGTTGCTTGCAATGGAAACAAGGCCGGTGGTTCGCAAGCAGGGCACGGGATAAGTGGAAAAGAGGGTTCTACTACTATCATTGGTTTGGAGCTAAGTTTGAGGTTGAATTTGAATGCCGACTTTGTAGCGCTTTCCATAATCTAATGATACTACGAATATTACTGTGACATGATTCCACTGACATGATCTGAGTCTTTCGGCTATTAAGATTCGCGCTGTTTAGCGCTCATTTGGATAAATGAGGCCTTTATTGTACTACTACGTATATTCTTGAGTGCCTCAGGCGGTCAGAAACTTCAAAAAACCGGACACTTCAAACGAACAGGCACGGGGGTGGAAAGGAGGGGGGTAATGGGGAAGGGTGGCCCAGGAGCAACTCTGTACTCGGTTTTCTTAGAAGTCAGTAAGTACGTAGTAACATGGGAAAATGCTACTCGTGCGACCAGCATATCTGTCCCTACGCGTCAATCTTTTAGGCTAGGGACAGAGATTGCAACGCTCTGAAAGGTTGGCTCTGCGTACTGTAAATTTGACTTGACAACTACTACGTACGTACAACTATAATCGGGTCGATTTTTCGACATGGGGACAGATACGGTGAGCTGGCCGCACGAGTGATATGAAGCCAAAACTGTTGGTGCGCGGTGGTCTGGCCCTCGAAACATACTTTTTGAACTTCGATTGCAGCCCTCCCATTACTCCCATCTTTCAATCAGTTGTAGGGAGTAGCTCTCCTATTGGTCTCCTTTAACCTTCGACGTACCCCGTATTACCGTGGTCCGAGTGGAACTTACCGAACAATCAGAGCTTTCTGCATACCGGTACTTACTGTACTACGTAGTAGTACTACGTACCCATAGCACCACAGCCTGTCGTATTCTTTCGTATCAGGCAGATCCTGACTCCTCATGATCGCTCATCAACGTTCCCTCTTTGGTGATCCCGCGTCCCCCCGTCCCCCCATCTTCGCAAGGACAGGCGGAGGCGGACCATGACATCAATACAGCAGACCATCTGAAAACCTCTTCCGGTGCTTCCTACCGGTACTTATCAGTGTCGAGGGGAATAAAAATAAAGGCCTGAGATGATTCCGATATCTGGTCGTACACTCGCTTTCAGTCGGCGCCAGAAACAAGCACATACGTAGTACCGTATAGACATCGCGACGGTGGGAGGCGTTGGCCCCATATTCGCACCCCCTCCCCCAGACTTCTCATGCGGTCAGTTCCCTGATACCATGTGGGTGTGTGGGTGTGTGGGTGTGTGGGTGGGGTCCTTTGAAGAGCTCGACATCGTCCTAAGCGTGGACTCCCGCACGCGATACTCCACAGGGCTTAGGGAACTTGGCGAGCGGGTGGAAGCAGAGGTTGTAGATAGGCCATGTCTACGACGAAAGGTGGATTATTTATCGTTCCTCCTGTCACAAATATCATGTCGTAACAAAGGGGAACTCGGTATGGTAGAGAACGACTCTCTCTCTCTCTCTAGATATTGGTAGGGACGCTTTGGGCTTAGCTTGCCAGGCGTTTACTCTGTTCTACGCGGCAGCTTGCTTGCTGGTCCAAAAATAACCTACGGATTCGCCTTGAATCGATCGGCTCTGGGAGAGAACCAGTGCTTAGAAGATCAAGGCCAAGCTTCGCCCTTAGCTACGCACCTTGGCCGTCGAGTCAAGGGCCACACACTAACTAACAAACTAACTGAATAAAGAAGACGGTGGGTGGGTTTGCAGAAATCTTTGTTGGAGAGGTTTGATTTGATGACTTGAGGTGGTGGAACAGACGAGGTTCACACCTAATATCAGGGGGGGAACGAGTCGATTCGCTTAGCTTCAACATTTCTTATAAACCCAACCATGGTATTGTGGTGCTCGCAAGTACTGCGTTGAGGGTTTTTATGGGCGGCGTATTACGGAGGTGCGTACAAGTGAGGCAAAGAAAAGATTGCAGCCAGTGTTGCCCTGGCCCAAGCCTACTGGGACTGAAGAAACCCGAGGTCGGGACCTAATTCGTAGTAGTACGTTGGATCTCGAAAAGATAACGAGAATAGTAGGACTGGATGGGAAAGAAGAGTGAAATTAAAAGTACGAAATGTATATCAGTTCGATATCAGGGATTTCCATTCACAATACACGCCCACTTTGCTGTACTGCACGGAAGGATATTCCATTCTGTACTAGCCTGCAGTTGACCTACAGACTTACCTGTATACAATACTCGTTCGATAACGGTGGCGAACTATTTTTGGGACTACCTACTTGTCATCTATATCGGGGCTGTAGAGAGTACAAGGTTGCATATGTTGTTTGCTATGTTTTCCAAGTCGTCCAGACCACACCGGCCTTTACCGCTATCTAACCAGGATGGCTGCAATTCGTGAATCCCTGCGGATTCATTATCAGCGTTGTGGGCGGTTCAAATACACCAAATCTCAATCCCGTTGCCTACGACCAGTACTCTTCTCCTTCCGGATCCATCATTACGCAGGACCGACAAGTCCCCCACATCAGCAACGGATGTAAACACATCGCCCGTCTTGGAAATCTGCAGCTCATATTCGGTAGATTTGTTTGACCGCTCTGCTCGGTTGAGTTGTATATCCCACTGTTTGACTCTTTGATCGTTACCGGAGGACATAACTCTGAATGACCCCGCGTTAGACAAGTCACACTTGTGAGATAAAATCGAGATGCCAGTAATAGCGGCCGCTTGAGCAGATTTCAGCAGAAAGATGCTCGGGCGTACCGTAACGTCTCCAAGGGCGTGGATTGGGTAAATGGAGACGCCCAACGCATTATCATCGCCGCCGGAAGCGATTATGATCTCCTTGGGCTTGACGACGAGGTCGAGGGACTTGACGGAGTTTTGATGGACCTTGCGGCTTGAAACGATAGCATGCCTTACAGGCTTCGGACTAGAGCTTTCGCTACACCGAGTTTCAACTTCGCTCTTCCATAATGTAAGATTGCCGTCTGTTGCGGCGGTCAGGAAACATAGTCGATTATCGATAATCTGTAGGTGTCGGATTTGCGTTAAGCATGTCGACTTATATCTCCCTAGTCCAAGCAACTCAAAACCGGCTCTCTGGGAGTATACATAAGTTCTGATCGTTGAATCAGAGTATGCTAGGCTAATCAGTAGAGAATTATCGGAACAGCAACTCCAGGACTGTGGCAGTCCGGAAACATCAAAACTCATGATCCTCAAATCCTGGTCCACACTCTTGTCGGGACATTCGGCCTCGCGGACGACACCGATACCAAAGTCTGGGATTGACTGAACTGCCCAAACGAAGAACTCTTCAGCACCCCCGCTGCTGAATAGATAATTTGACCCATGCCATTGAAGATGCTGAATTCCAGTCGTGTGTCCTTGAACAATTGCCTTACAGTCAAGTCTCGCATCCAGACGCGAAGAGCGCCCGTCATAGCGCCATATCCGAATCGCAGTATCTTCTGCACCAGTAGCGACCAGTCTCCCATCTGAAGACACAGCGCTGGCTTTGATTTCCCTGCCATGGCCACCTGGTTTTGTAATGGTGTGCGATGGGTTTGGTTGGGAACGGAAACAAAGCTTGGAAGCTTTCGTATAGACAAAGTGGCCACCAGCTACAGGGCCCACCGGGGTATAGGCATAGCTACGATGCGCACCGCCGCAATCCACATTTGAGATTTCGTATTGTTTACTCTCATTCCAGACGATGAAGCTCTTACTCTTGAATCCGCAGAAAAACAGGTCGCCGCCTTGAAACCATGCTGCTTCGATCAATGGTCCAAATGGCAGAATCCCGGTATGCACGCAACGCACCGTTGCTTTTGGACCATCTTCAGCGGAGCCAGGAATACAGGAGAAAATCGAGTAAGATCCAGTGCGATCTGTTGTCAAGAAGTGGCTGGCCGGATTCCCGGCCAGAGCAGACGATGGCAAATGAAGGACGGTGGTAATGGCATCTGCGGTTGATGAATTATAGGGGCTCCAGACATTGACGGCTTCCTCGGAACTATGTGTACTGTAGAGAGCCAGCAATCCAGATCTAGCACCCAGGATCAAGAACCCGTTACTTCTTCCTGCACTTGTAACAATGAACTTTTCTGGCAAGATGCAAGAAGCCTTGGGGGACAATTGCAGCGTGGTGTCAGATTTCTCGACAGAAAATAGTGTAGCAGCATGACCTGTTAAAGTCGTAACGAGCAACTCAAACGAACCAGTCGCGGAGTTGAAGACCTTGAACATGTCGGCAACCTTTCCCTCAACATCTGCGACGAATTGGAGCCTCGGGCTTTGGCGATACGCATATATCTTGCCGTTAGCACAAGCCAGGCATACCAAACCAAGTTCTGGGATCCCCTTGACCACGGTATACGATCTGAGATCCTGTGAGACTGAATCGGGAAGAATGAACTCGCTCCAGGCAATGTTTGACTCTATATTTCCTAGGAGAACTCGCCCAAAATTGGTGGTGGCAAGCACCTGTTTATCGGAGACGAAAGCATACCGATTAAAACCATCCTTCACAGCTTTCTTCGCCTTCTTAAGCTTGGTAGTTTTGCTCTCTGATGAATTTGTTTCTCTAGATCTATCCCCGGTTGGCATTGGGGGCGGTTGAACACCCGTAAATGCACATTCTACCACTGGCAGAGTTGGTTCGTTTGCCGGCAGTACATCGTCGATGGAACATGAGCTGTCTATGCTGCACATATCGGATCCAATCTGTCGTTCCTCGCCTACAATTTTGGATGACAGAATATCATGGCACGAATTTGTATCTTTCGTACTCAAATTGTATTTCGAGATTTTGCCATCAGCACCACCAGTTACCAGCAAGACTTCTGATCCTCTGGGATAACAGAGCGCCGTGGACCAGATGCTTTTACCGCTGTGGAATGCAAATGTATCAAGTTGGCTGAGCTTGGTAGCTCCATCGGTATAAGCGGTTGTGCTTAATGGTTTTGCTCTCATCATGGCTTTTGCTCCTTGAACGTGGACGTCAAGACTTCCTCCTAGATTTAAAGACCACCTCTGTGTTGTTGAATCCTCACCAAACGAAAGGACGCTTGTAGCAAAGGTACCAGAGGTATCTGTTTCCAAGAGAAATTTGACGTGCCATATCCTGGAGGCGTGACCCATGACGGTAGCAATACATCTATCGCTCGCTTGAGATGTACTAGAGCTGCTGTCCTCTCCGAACCCAGTCTCTCGTATCGGCAAGGCTCTGCTTGCAACCGAGTCCGAAATCAAAGTAGTTGTAGCTAGGTTCCAGACGCGGATGGTGCGATCATCGCTACAACTTGCTAACAGTCGGCCGACGGTCCCACTGCTCTGGGTAACACGATCAGAAATATCGAGGCCGAAGATCGATCCTTCATGGCCCAAGAAAGTGAACAGCACCTGACTTCTCCCAGACGTGGAGCATTGCCAGACAATAATCTCACCAAAAACCGTACCAGCAGCTACTAAAATGCGAGAAGGAGACTCCCAAATTATATCTGCAGAATACAAGATGGACCTGGAAGGCGAGGCGAGTGTTTCTACTGCATATCCCGTCTCCTTTGGACAGGGTCTGGCGAGGAGGACTGTATTGTGAGCAGTGATCAGGACACAGCCTTCCCCGTCTGGGGAAATAGCAATATCGAGAATCCAATCTGCCACCGGGGTAGCTGAGGATACGATGCTGCTTACCTCTTGCGCGAGTAGCTGATCGAAGCTGTCCTTGTCAAGCAAGGTCAGGGACGATCCTCCCCAGATGGCAACCTGTAGCTTATCAGAGCGGTTTGCAGCTGCAGTAATTCCATGGATCGCCTGGCCATCGAAGACCTCACACAGACATAGTAGCTTTGATGTTTCTGCGTCGAATATCTTCAAAATAGAGCCTTCGCCAGCTAAGATGAAGAGAGAGGCTGATTCTGCACGGTAGAACTCGAGGGCCGTAATTGGATTGAGGATGTACTCAGGCTGTGATGATATTAGCCGGGGAAGATTGCGAACATGTAATGTCATACCCTGGGCGCCATTGAATGAAGAAGCAACCCTGGGATGTGGGATGTGGGTGTGGGATGTGGGATTGTCGTTGTTTTAAGAGTTTGGTTATTCGAATATATTCATGACGAGGTCACGAGATCATGAGTGCGAACTGAGTTCTGTTCATGAGTTGGGGATATAAAATATAAACTCTCGCTTAGTTATCACGACGGTAGAACTCCGGATCGCATCGGATCAGATTAGATCAGGATCGAGGATGCCGGCCGGCCTCACACCCTACATCACGCCCACAACATTGATGGCATTCTCGCAGGCTCAACTGTGTTTACCCACTACTCTACCGTATATCCTCCATCATTTGCAGGTATGGTCCAGGAAATGCATACACACATGTGCGAAAGGTAACCCGCCCGAGTGTATTATCTATCTCTCTTCCATCCTCTCGACTACCTATAGGTACTTACCACGATTATGACTAGCTAGGACTGCGACTGTGGCTGCGGCTGCGACTACGGCTGCGACTGCGACTGCGACTGCGACTACGGCTGCGACTACGGACAGGAAAAACTGTTGGGAGAAAGCAGGACCGGTATCCACATATGATATGGAATCTTGCAATGAGACGTCATTTTAGGAGCATCAGAGCCCGCCCGCTCTTGCGAACAACAACTTCTTCCAACCGCCCAACTCGAATCTCTCCATCTCCATCTCCATCTCCATCTCCATCTCCTTCTTCATCCCCATCTTCATCCCCATCACCATCACCATCACCATCACCATCTCCATCTCCATCTCCATCTCCTTCCCTGTCTCCTTCCAATCCGCAACGGCCACCACCCCCACCATGATCGGGCAGTCGGGCTCGGAATACATCTTCATACGTGTCTGTATCCTAGGCCTGCACTCTATTGCACCGCTCTGCGTGCTCTACTGTGCCATAATCATTGCGCTTTATGGCTTCAGAACCGCCATCACCTCCCCACTACCCCTCCTCATCGAGGCCATTGCCGCTGCAGAAGCGCTGTTCTACTTCTTGGTCTACCTGCCATATCGATACGCCCTTCAGCGCGAAGCAGTCCATCCGCCTGCGCCATCACGCGAAGAGAGGAGAGAACTCTTTCGTTTATGCAACGAAAACATAACTGATCCTGAAGCGTACTTCCGCAAGTGGTTTCTTGGCGCCGACCTGAAGGATATAAAGCGGGAGAACGTGAAAGACTTTCTGCTATGGGCCTTCTTCAACCGGGGAGGCCCTCCTGGAGACGATGATGATGAGTTGGAGGAATACGTTGTCGCTACCGAGAAATTGCTTGGAAGGCCGATTGAGGACGGAAGAGGGAGCGCGATATGTTTGCGTTTGACACTGGACCGTGTAGCCATGCTTCATCGAAGCCTGGTATGGTACTTTGTAAGTACAAGTCCCAGTTTCCCCCCAATTTCTAACGCGAAATTCGCTGATCTCCCTAGTGTGTTGGGTTTGTTGACTTTCTGGCCTATGTGAAACTCCTCTTGCACGGCTTCCATTTCCATCGAATGCCCCTATCTCGATTCTTCACTCTGTTTCCATTCCGCCCACAAACTCTTCTTACTACGTACCGCTCTCCCGCAAAATACACAAGTTACTGGCACCGCCCGCATACATCGCCGACGAAACTTCCTATCTTGTTCATACACGGCATCGGAATTGGCCTCTACCCCTACACGAATTTCCTGGGCGAGCTGAACTCCGTCTCCGGTGTCGAGTCGGCGGATGCAGACGGACAAGTCGGCATTATCGCGATTGAGATAATGCCCGTCTCGTTCCGCATCACTCACTCCGCCCTGAGTCGAGCCGAGATGTGCTCAGAAATCGAGCGAATTCTAAAGAAGCATCTCACACCAGGGCAGAAGTGTGTTCTAGTATCCCACTCCTATGGATCAGTAGTCACAACACACCTCCTTCATACCCCTTCAACAGCGGCGCTGATCGGGCCTCTGGTTTTGATCGACCCGGTCACGATTTTGCTCCACTTGCCGGATGTGGCTTACAATTTCACGCGCAGACTGCCAAAGAGAGCCAACGAGCACCAGCTTCATTACTTTGGAAGTATGGATATGGGAGTGAGCCACACGCTTGCTCGCAATTTCTTCTGGAGCGAGAACGTGCTTTGGAAGAAGGATTTGAAAGGTAGACGCGTGACTGTGAGTCTAGCTGGGAAGGACCTGATTGTTGATACAAACGCGGTTGGACGCTATTTGAATAAAGCTGCTGTTGTTCCGAGTGGGCATGCATCCAATGGCCGCGCTACCCCCAACAGCCATGCAACTGATACCGATTCGAAGAGGAATCTCTTGATCGACTACGAAACGCGCACCGATCTCCAAGAAGGCCACGGCAGCGGATCTGCTAGCAGAAGCAGAAGTCAAAGTAGCGCAGGCGGCGAAAGTTCAAACAGCTCAACGGATGAAGCCGATGTAGACGAGTGGAAATCTCGACCGTGGCGTGGTACGGACATTGATGTCCTTTGGTTCGCAGACCTAGATCACGCGCAAGTCTTTGATAAAAAGGCTTCGAGGCAGAGGGTCATTAGGGCCATTGCTGCGTACTGCGACGAAGAGTAGATACGAACGGGGCCCGGAGTATACTTAAAAGTCCTGGGACAAGGTGCCTGAAGATTGAACACAAGATGGACAAAAAGGCCACGATTGTGGAGATGATTACGAATTATGTTGTAGCGGTATACCATGTACGAATACCAGACTCATTTATATGTTTTCCTCAGGTACATGATACAACACCTGTAATGCTCTCGACTGACAGTAGCCGGCAGCTTGCCTTATCGGCGCATGGCTAGGTAAATTTTCCAGGAAAATGTTCTGAAGACACTATTAAACATCGAATATTTAATTGGATTGGTTTGTATGGTATGGTTGATCAAACAGGTTGAAGTCGGGATAGTTTTTGATAGCTATTTCGCAAAGGTTTGTAACATGAATATATGAGGTAGGAAGATTCCATGTTTGCTGGTGAATGGTCCCCCGCCCATCTAAAAATAACCTTAGCAGAGAATATTGAGGCTGAAAGCCAAGGCTGTTGAGGCTTATATAACCACAAATCACGTGCGAGGCTACCTCCCTGATAACTCGAGAACAAAGTACCGTTGTTCAACTTCTTCTTCTCTTTACACAACACCCGATCTAAGTGCCCATACGATCAGTGATACTGCAATCATGTCAAACCTGGCGAACACGAACTTGGAGGACAGCGATGAAGAGGAAGACTTTAACCCTGCGCAAGCAGATCTTTCCGACAACGAAGCTTCCAAGTCTGCGAATGCAGATTCAGATGACGAACAGCCATCAAATTCGAGGAGGCGATCATCTGCAGGTCAGGACGATGCGGAGGAAGACGACGAGGATGCAGAGGGGCCAGGAGAGGATCTAGCTGCTGGCAACGATGAGGATGACGAGGAAGATGAAGAAGACGAGGAAGAGGAGATTACGGTAAGCAGCCAGGCCGACTACCCGAAGGAACATCAATACTGAGTTGTGTGCAGGGCCACCGTAGAAAACGCCGACGTGAACGCCGTAACCAGTTCCTCGACGTCGAAGCCGAAGTGGATGAAGACGAGGATGAGAACGACGACGACGAGGATGAGCTCAATGAGATCAAGGACAACTTCATTGCTGATACGCATCCAGATGATCTCGCTGATCTTCCTGCTGGGGGCGTGGCAGATGATCGGAGGCATAGGGAATTGGATAGGAGACGAGAGATGGAGGCAAGCTTGGATGCAGAGAAGCAGGCCGAGATTCTGCGACAGCGTTACGCAAATAAGAATAGATCCGGTAGAGCCGCTGGCGATTCGGCGGTTGTGCCGCGACGCCTACTTCTTCCCAGTGTCGATGATCCATCGATTTACGCTGTGCGCTGTAAGGAAGGAAAGGAGCGAGAGGCTATATTCTCCATCATGAAGCGTGTGGAAGAGAGACAGGGCACAAGGGACGAGCTTGCGATTACTTGCGCTTTCGAGAGAGGTGGAACAACGTCGACGATGAAGGGGTTTATTTACGTCGAGGCCCAGCGCCAAGCAGATATTATGACTGCCCTCGATGGATTGATGAACGTCTACCCCAGAACCAAAATGATGCTTGTCGAGATCAAGGAGATGCCAGATTTGCTCAGAGTTACGAAGACACCATCTCTGGAGCCTGGAGCCTATGTTCGGCTAAAACGCCCTCCGAAATATGCCGGTGACCTTGCCCAAGTCATCGATGTTACGGATACTGGACTCGAAGTGCGGGTCAGATACGTGCCTCGCCTTGATTATGGCCTTCACGAGGATGCGAATGCCCCCCAGGATTTTGGTGCCAAGAGAAAGCGACCTACAACCGGACCTCGACCACCGCAGCGACTTTTCAGTGAAGTGGAAGCCAAGAAACGACACGCGAAGTACCTCCAAGGGAGATCTGATACCAAGACTTGGAATTATCTTGGTGACGAGTACATCAATGGGTACTGCGAGAAAGAGGTCAAGATCCAGACTTTGGTCACCAAGGATGTCAATCCGACATTGGAGGAAGTCACAAGATTTGCTTCTGGTGCCGAAGACGGAACCGAGAACCTTGATCTGAATGCTCTCGCTGCCAGTCTCAAAGCCAGCACTGCAAATGCATCTTATCTTCCAGGAGATGTCATCGAAGTCTACGAAGGAGAGCAGAAGGGTGTGGTTGGTAAGGCAGTGTCGGTCCAGGGCGACATTGTTACGATGGCAGTAACCGAGGGTGATCTCCGAGGTCAGACAATCGAAGTGCCTGTCAAGGGCTTGCGAAAGCGCTTTCGAGAGGGAGATCACGTCAAGGTTATTGGCGGAAGTCGTTTCCGAGATGAAGTCGGAATGGTTGTCAAGATTTCTCAGGATCGGGTGACGCTTTTGACTGACCAGAGCAATACCGAGGTCACGGTCTTCAGCAAAGATCTTCGAGAGGCCAGCGACTCGGGTGGTGGTGGCTCTCTCGGTCAGTTCGAGCTTTGGGACTTGGTTCAGCTCGATCCCTCGACGGTTGCTTGCGTCGTAAAGGTTGACCGGGAGTCATTGGTCGTCCTTGATCAGAACAACCAGACCCGTATGGTACTGCCTTCTCAAATTTCGAACAAGCTCGAGAAGCGCAAACACGCCGTTGCGACTGATCGAAACGGCTCCGAGATCCGCGCAGACGACGGGGTAAAGGAGCATGGTGGTGAGGGAAGATCTGGGAAGATTATTCACATCCATCGCGCCTACCTGTTCCTGCGGAACCCTGCTCAGAGCGAAAATGCTGGTGTGTTCGTGACCAGAACCACGAGCGTCGCCACCGTTTCTGCCAAGGGAGGTCGACTTGTAACGTCTTCCGCTCCTCAGGATCTCACTTCCATGAACCCTGCAATGAAGCGCAATCCTGGTGGTGGTCCTAACACGAGTATGCCTCCTCCAAAGTCATTTGGGCGAGATCGAGCGATCGGCCAGACAGTTACTATCCGCAAGGGTCCTTACAAGGGTCTGCTCGGTATCGTCAAGGAGACTACTGATACCAATGCTCGTGTCGAGCTTCACACAAAGAGCAAGGTTATCAATGTGCCAAAAGACGCGTTAGGATTCAAGGACCGGATCACAGGACAGTCCATCGACCCAATGTCCAGAGGTGGCAGAGGCGGTTTCACGCCTCGTGGTTCGAGCAGAGGAGGGATGGGTAGCGCTACTCCTGGTCATAGCTGGGATGCTGGCCATGGCAGCCGGACGCCCATGCCATCCAGCACAGAGCGTACTCCGGCCTGGGGTGCTGCTAGAAGTAAGTTCTCCTTGCGCTACGTTTTCATGCAATTTACTAACGGCTGTAGCACCTGCTGCAGCAAATGGTGGTCGTACACCTGCCTGGAAAGCTTCGGCCAATGACGGACGGACCCCAGCTTGGGCCCCGGCCGATGGCTCAAGAACCGTCAATCCGTACGACGGAAGCCGTACAGCATACGGAGCCGGTAATAGAACTCCCGCATGGCAATCTGGTGCAAGAACGCCGGCATACGGTCTGCAGCAACAAGACGGCTTCAACGCTGGATCCAAGACTCCTGGCTATGGCGGAAGTGGCGATTCCTGGGGAGGATCCAAGACACCAGCTTACCAGCCCTCAACTTCGAACTCCAACGACAATACTTTTGGTAACAGTAGTTGGAACAATGCCCCGACTCCCGGTAACCAGCCCATGTCAGCACCCACTCCTGCTGCTGCGGCTACACCCTTCGATGCACCGACTCCTGGGAACTTTCCCAACTCTGCCCCTACGCCAGGTCCGGGGTTTTGGTCCGCCCCCACACCCGCAGCCATGCCAGAGAGTGCACCCACGCCGGCGAATTACAACGCCTACTCGGCCCCGACGCCTGGCGGGTACCCAGAGACTCCTGCTGCGAATTGGCAGGACGATGGACCGAGGTATGTTGACTGAGAGTGGAGCTCTCTAGGCTAAGCGAGCGGGTGGCGGGTAGGATAGGTATCTCTTGGTGGTAGGGCGAGAAGTTAACTTTCTACCTTGTTGTCTTAAAAGGAAAATAAGGGGTTGCGAAGAGAACTATGAGTAGGCCCTTGCATATTTCGTGGCATGGAAAAGGGATGTGTTGCGGCGGCATGAGGCGTTGATCAATAGGAAATGCAAACGCAAATGCAAATGCAAATGCAAATCCATCGGAGAGATCACTTCATCGACATGCTTAAAACTTCCCTTGACTTTTTTTTTCTATGCTTTGATGCATGTTTGTGTTTGTGTTTGTGTGTGACTCTAGTGAAATTTTCCTTACATACTC